ACACCAGCTGGTCCCAGGGCAACCCTTGGCCTGTTTTATTCAATAATAAAGATACAGCCCTTATTTGGTGTATGCTGGACCCCAGGGGAGGATAGTCCTAAAAATAAGCCCTGTTTCCCAACAAATGTGGGTTCCCCTCCAGCGTTTCGGCGGGCATGTTCGCCGGGAGGCAGGTGCTGCTCGCGGCTCCCTCCCCAGGCCGGTTCCCATGTGCTCCCTGCGCCGCAGGGGCTGTTTTTGGGGCTGGCGCCCCGTGACGGGGGTCTCAGATAGGAAAGCGCCGATTTGCATGGTTTTGCAAATGGAAATGGAGCCTTTTCCATAAAAAGAGGTTAAAAAGCCAGCGGTGCCTCCTCCTGCCATAAAGCGCTAGGGAACGGGGAGGAGGGCAAGGGCGAAATGCAGACCCAGCTTTACAGCTGGGTGCTGGCCCGATGCCCCTGTTTGGTGGCCGCATGCAGGTCGGGCTGAGGTTGCACCCCGTTCCTCCGTGCCTGGCGCCTTTCCCCATGCCTTGCGTTAACCAACAAGGTGTTTGCTCCGTCCTCACTGCTTTTGAGACCCTGCTGGGCCCAAAAGCAAGATTTTATCTCAGGCGAACGTACCCTTCAGCATCACAAGCGCCCTCCATCCCCACGACAAGCTCCTGCAGGGCCATCCGCCACCCGCAATATCATTATTAATAACAGCCAGCACTCCCGGCACCGCTCGATATTTTTTAGAGCACAAAATGAAAGCGTGGGCCTTCATTTCTAATATCTTCTCTCCTCTTTAAAGACGAGGCAACGGCCGGATGTCGGAGGACGAGGTGGTCATGGGAACGCGATGCCCCGAGCGGGAGGATGTCCCAGCGGCTCCAAAGCTGTAAGAAAAGTGGAATATTGGAGTTGCAGCTTCTGCAAACTGCCTTTTCTTTATATAGAGAGCCAGAAAGAGAAGGGAAAGCTCACCCAAACAACCCCTGAAATCCCGTCTCCCAGTTCGGGCTGCTGTTTTCCGTCTTTCCGAGACAGCGGAGGAAAGGGGAGATGGTTTCTCGCAGTCCTCTCGGGCCAGTGCGGGCCCAGCTGCGGCACCGCGGCTAAATGCAGCCATCCAGCTTGGAGGAAGAGGCAGATAAGTTGGAGAGCGTTCAGGAGAGCGAGGGGGAAGAGATTTGTTAAAAAGTGATTAGTGAGGACCAATTGTGAGAACTGAGATAGTTTAGAAAAGACCAAAGGGGACCGTGGCGGCGACTGGTAACTCCGCAAGAGGGTGTTGTAAAGATAACGTTATCCAGCTGCCCATGGGAGAGAGGACAAGAGGCAGCTCCCTTCGTCTGCAGCCAGGGTGAGATATTAGGAAAACCCTCTATTAACCGTGCGGTTCAACACCTGAATCGGCTGCTGCGGGAAGGCATGAAATTCCCCCATAGGAGATCTTTAAAGCCACCTTAGAGAAAGACGCTGGTCTGTAGTTACCAACAAACACTTGCAAGCCACGGGCCAAAGTGTGTTGACCGCGGATCAGCCGGAAGTGGCGGGCAGCGGCTTGCTTTGCAAAAACCCGGGCTGCAGGACTTGTTTGCTAGAAAGGGTATTGATTCATGGCCCGGGCCTAAGCCAGTGCTTGCTGATTTCCTCTGGAAGGGCTGAATTGCAAGCCCCGACCTGCAGCAGCAAGGTGTTACACCAACTGCCGGAAAGAAATAAGGACCCCTAGAGAGAGAGAAACCCAGAAAAAACAGGGCATCTGCTGGCGAGACAAGATCAGGCTTGTCGCTTGCTCTAATTCCCACTGACACGCACTGCGCTGCCTGGCTGGGGCTTTGCGCGGCGCCGGGAGCAGGCGCGTGCCGGGGCTGGGTGCGTGACGCAGGCTGCGGCACGGGGGCAATCGGCGTGTTTTGGGTGTTGCGCGTCCCAAAGCGCTCCAAAGGCTGCTCCTTTGGAGAGCGTTGCACGGGCTCCGTCCCCGCAGCAGGCACCGGACGCTGCGATTCTTTAATTTTAGCAAGTGCCGTCTCCGGGCAAGGTCTGGCCGCGTCCCTGCTATTATAGCACAGTCGCTG